TAGTTACTCTGTTTTTTTTTTTTTTTTTTTTTTGGCCCACTAGCAAAAAAGCCACTTTCAGATAAGTATCATTATGAGGCAGAAAGGGAAGGAAACTGGATTAGCAATTTCTTTATAACTCGCAAAAAATGAAAAAAAAAATCTTAAGTTTATCCCATATCAACCTCAGGAAGTTTAATGAAATGTGGTTACATAAGCAGCATATAGCAAGGTAATGAACTCAGCAGTCACATGAATTATGCAGTGGACTCTGACATGTACAATATGGCCTCTGGCCGTAAGAATTCTAATTTAACAGCTTCCAAAAGTTTTCCCCATCCAAAGCAATAGGGATCACTATCTCAGACAGGATATGAAGACAAAGTTGTAGTTGATCTGAAAAAAAATCAAGAGAAGCATGCCACCACAGAGGTAACAGGTGAATAAACCAAGATATTTTTCTAAGAAGGCAGGATTTTGAGGAAGTTGTAAAAGTCACAAAATCACTTCAGCTTTTGCATATCAGATAGACTCCAAGCTTGCTCTTAAACCTATCGGCTCTCATGGGAAAGACCAGCACTTTTGAGATATGCTTTTAAGGAATATGAACTCCAGCTCTCTGGTTAACTACTGAAGAGCTGACTGGTGTCCCAGCTGCTGCTGTGCCAGCAGAGCTCCCAGGCACACTGGAATCCTACAAAAGCTTCACAAAACTATAATTGCTTTTTTGAGTCTTAAATATAAAAAGTGTCAATATAGGATTCCCCAGTGAAATATATGTGGAAAATAAGCCTAACATTTTTGTAAGAGTTGTTCTTCAGGTGCGACTTTACAGAACATATTTGCACTTTCTTTTTGAGACTGCTTTTGTCCCTGAGAAAACTTGATATAAGATCCATCCTGGTTATTAACTGCCATCTTGAATCTAGGCTATCCCCGAGTTATGATCTTTAATATGATTGTATGAAATAATCAGGATAGTTGCAAACCCAGCTTATCAGTTTGCATAAAAAGGAGACATTTTTGCAAATTAACTAATAACATCACTAATCTAGGCACAACAAACACATGAAGACATTGCAATATCATCTAAGCAGACAAAGACAAATGCTTTTCAAGTTTTACTTTAAGAGGAACTTCAGCGATTTTATGTGCAGAAGACTTGACTAGATGAGGTCTATTACATTTAGTTAGCATCCTCTAGCTAATATCCCACAAGCTATGGCAAAAAGCTTATCTCTAATTCAAAGGACAAAAATCTAGAAAGAAAGCAAATATTATCCCTTCAATCTGGTCAGACATTTTGCCCTTTCACAGATTGCAACTATGAAAGAAGCCCAGAAACACAGCAACCCTCATCCCAAGTAATATATTTAAAGTTTTTCTAGTACTTCTTACAACTAAGATGTTACATAACAAGAATCACAGCTTAGTGAGACTGTGCAAACCAAGTTCAGTGGCAGCAGGCCTCAGCACAAGCAACCTTACCCCAAATTATTCATACACAAATAATGCACAAAGAGTGCAACTAAGTTACCTAGGCTAACACCAATTTACTAAAGTATCTATTTTCTACACAGAGGAAAAAAAATGAAAATAAGATTTGGAAGACAAAACTAAGCAAATCACAGGTGAATATCTGAATAAAGGATTATTGCATCTGCTTTCAAGAGAAGCAGGGAGAAGTAGGGGGGGCAGGGCTCAGTTCTTACCTTCAAACTAACACACACCTTTACCTGTATGGATCTTTATCAGTGTCAATTTGCAAATTTTGAAGAAAGACACAGTTATATAAATGTCAGATTTAATTTTGTACATTAAAACAAAAAGAGCTCAGCTGTTTACTAGCATCCTCAGTGTAACGCTGACTAGATGAGCCATATATGCTAGAAAAATTTCTGTTTCAACTTTGTTTTTGCATTTCTTTATTTTCTTAGTATGCCACAATTATTCCAGCAGTCTTTGCAACCACTTGCCCCTAAAGGGAAAGCTAGTAAGTTTTCACAGTACATATTTGATTGTGATTATTATCACGAGTCTACCTCAAAAAAGGTTTTTTTCTTCCCCCCCCAGCTTTTTACCATTTCTTCACAGCAACTGTTTTTCAATCTACTAACTTCAGTCTTATCTTCTCACTCTGCAGTACTGAGTCATATCAAAGTTTCCAAATTCAACATACAGGTAATAGGAAATATAAGTTATTATTAATCCTAGGTAGAATTGCCATTAGTTAGAAATAGCCTAGAAGATTCAGTTATTTTTACAGGCTATTTATAACACCCCATTTCTTCCGTTCACTTTGTACTTCTCTTCACATGAGAAAAGACTCCCCAAGCATCACCCAAATTTCTTCACAACACTCAGAATCCCTGGATTGAACAGTAATGCTTTAGGAAAGGTTTCCTGGAGCGGCCTCTGCAGAATCCAAAAGAATCAAAGAACTTTCTGTATATTAGGATATATAACATAACAAGACAATTAAGTCAAAAAGGCTCAAAAACACAGGGCCCCAGCCTTCAAAATACAAGGTCAATGCACGACCTGGAGAAGCCGCCTAACCCCGGACAGCCCGGCCTCATTAGCTGCAGGGCTGGATCCTCACCTAGAGACCCTCCTCGAAGGCAACTTGGACACAGCAGTTCTGCCCCCATACGGCAGGTGTGGGAGAGAGGTAGGATGCTTCTGGCTTCAGGCTTCGGCCCCACGGAGATGGGGCAGGGAGCACCTGCGACCTGCTGCAGTCCAAGCTAATTCCTACCTGCGTGGACAGACAGCGGGAGGCAGCAGGCCCGGCTGCAGGCCGGACCCGGGCCGAGCTCCGCACCCAGCGCCCGGCAAGGCTGGGAACAGCGAGCAGGAAAGGAGCCTTTCGGCACCCCTAGCTCGTCTTCCCCAACGCAACGGAAACGAGAATAATCTATTAATAAAATAAATGAAAAAAAAAAGAAACTACTACTATTATTTTCTGCGGACAGCAGAGATGTTGCTTGTTTTCTTTCCTGCTTTTCCTCCTGCCTTCAAAACCAGATCAACCCAATTTCTTTAATCCATCCTTAGAGAAACCAAAAACACAACCTAGCCATTCTTACTACTTCAATATTATCCAGTTTATTCATATCTTCTTTAAAAAACATGCATCCAGCTGAGGCTTCACCAGCATTTAGAGAGAAGAATAATTTCCTCTCCATGTATTAAGCAAATACCTCACTTGACATACCCCCAAAAGAGTTTTCTACTTTTGTGACCCTAACACCTTTTAGGCATCTTTAGCTCAGGATGTGATAAATAATTTTTGTCTCTTCTATGCAGTTTCTCTAGCATATCAAGATCATTTTCAATTCTGAGCATCCTCTTGAACAATTTGCAACCTTTCCTACCTGAACATACATACTTTCATACTTAAGAAATATTATTTCCTTATTAACCGAGACAATTGAGGTCAGATTTATCAAAATCAAACCAGTTCTAACTGATGCACAGTTACTGATTATAATTATCTATGCTAGGAGAAAAAGAAAAGTCAACAGAAAAAAAAAAAAAAAAAAAGCTTACATTCACATTTGTGTACCAGCAAAACTGTTACCCAGTGTTACTAGTGAACATAGCTGGAGATTATTACAAACTGCCTCTCCAGGCTTTAACCTCCATAACAAATTATTTTAAAATCACCCAATATAAAATTGACAGTCTAAATGCCTGAGTTTTTTTTAAAGTGATGAAATCCATTAAAAAAATGTTTTAAAGCATCTCTCAGTGCACTTAGGATCACTGTACACAGTTTAAACACACTTTAAACCCATCAAAACCTTAAGAGTTCTGCAACTTCAACTCATTTTCAGATATTTCCTTCTCCATCTTCAATTATTTCAGGAGTTAACACTTTAATAGCAGTAGGTTCTCATCGGAATTCTTCAGACACTTACCACAGTTCATTTTTCATTGTTTACGCTCCTTCACAGTAAAAAGATATCAGATTCAGAGGGCACTATTATGACTTATCATAATGAAGTAATGGCATAATATTACTTTTAAGGTTGCTTGTTCGTTTAAAGGAATTAGGAGCTTTTAAAATATCCTAAATATTTTACATTCAAAGTTATTCCGATATGACTCCTTCAAAGGTTGGAAACGTTAGAGATCCTGACACTGGATCCAGGGCACTTTATAGTACTACAAAGACTAGACTCAACTTTCTGCCATCAGCAACATGAGACTCCAGAAAATGTCCCTAGCAAGAGAGAAGATGACTCCTATTTTTGTAGTTTAAATATACCTGTAGCTAAAATAGTTAACATGCTTAAGAGTATTGCTCTTCTTGCTCTAATTACATTAGTCCCCATATTTTTTATAAATATGAATTGCTTCATATATCTGTAAACAATGGTCTTTTTTTTTCTACAGAGGAATATACTCAACTCTCAATCCTTCTTTAAAAGGCTCCTTCGCATCTGCCCCTTCATTATTGGGGCTTTCTTCTCCATTTATCTACCTGCATCCTTAGCTAGGCACTGCACTCCAAATTGGAGCAAATTACAGCAGAACAGTAGATACTACCTGATTTGATGCAAATGTTCTAGATTGAGCCTCCAATTCCCTTTGCACCAACAGCTTAGTTAATTTTTCAGGGCTGGCTAAGTAAAATAAGACCTAGAACTAAGAGAAAAAAAAAAATCAAGCACACTTAAATCTCTATTTGTCCAAATCCATAGTCTTCTCTGTACTGAAAGATTTTAGAAGGAAAAAACATCAGATAAAAGAGACTTTGCAAACTTAAATCATCCTATAAAGGATGAAGACTAAGAAATTGAGAGTTGCCACATTTTCAGATTATCCAAGCTGTTCATCATGTTTGATAACACAGAACATGATTTACTTTCACGGCGAGACAGGTACAGCTAAGAACTCTTTTTGTCTTTCATGTCCATCAATGTACATGAATTTCTGTATACAGACACCCGTGTTATTAACCTAGTGGCAGATCCTCATATAACTAATTATTCTCCATCTGATCATTGAGAGAGCTGTGGTAAATGAAAAATAAAAGAGGGAAGAAAATCAGAAATTTCTAAAAGTTTTACATCATTGCATAACTCTATGGAAGTGGGCAGAAATGTCTGGGGGATTTTTCTGCCTACTTTATCATCCCTTTCAAAGGGCATTTAATTCTCCTTCTCTATCAAAAAACTGTCTTGTATTTTGATGAAAAAAAAAAAAAAAAGGACAGGCATTTCCTTAGTATGCTCCAGCCTCACAGCCTCCATGTCAGAACTATTGCTACAAATAAATTCATCTTTCCAGAATACTTCAGCAGATGGTTCCCTGTCCTTTGAAGAATGCATGTAATTGAATCTGATTGCTTGTAAAAGCAAGAATTAACATCATCGAATGGGGTGGGAGAGCAAGCGCATGTTTCTTCCTCAAACATCTCTGCCAATAAACTAATCATGACCTCCAACTTCCATCCTAGAGGCAAGAGCTAAATAACAGGTCATATGGGCAAATGTAATCCAGGAAAAAGCTCAAGATTGTTTACTGTTTTTTTTATGCTGGCAAACCAAGTACATAGATGTGCTCAAATGCAAAATCTAGTACGCTGCTTAACTATTCCCCTAATCCAAGCGGGAAACTGGTAGAGATGTAGTCACTGGAAAAAAAGGTCGCAACTACACCCAGCTACGCGGTTTGTGGCCATCTTGCCCCCAACTGCCACGATATCTGTTACAGAGTGTTTAAATCACCCCTATACAGGCCCAAACCCAAAGTCATCCCATATCACCCACTTCTGTCAAACAGGTAAAAAGATGCACATGAACAAAAACAGAAAAACAAACCACAATGAGGAAAACTCCGGAGAGAGGATGAGGCAGAGCACAACTGCAACCATGCCAGGTAATGGAACAGACAAGGTGGACTCGAGCTCAAACCTCAAACACCTTAAGAAGAGTTAAGGATATCACCACAGCTGTTGCAAGGAAGAATTTTCAAACAAAACCAGTGTATTCTGAATTAAATTGTATGCATCAGCTGAAGATCTACATATCAAATGAAATTATCAAGTTCTCAAATAAGAATCAGAGGTTTCCTTTCAAATTATGATGCTGTTAAATTCAGACCATTTGAAGACATCCCCAAGAAAAGAGAGGGGAAAAAAAAAAAAAAAGGTGATGACTGATGCTGAATTGGAAGCTAATGGTCTCAGCAACGGTCAGCAGTTTGGTCTACCCACAAGGGCGAGGAAGCACTCGCACCTCGGCCTTTCTTAGTGGACACGAGGAACAGGACTCAAGGACTCACTAGTCCTAAAAGGACACATTCCTCCTTCCCTCAAAAAATCCACAACAGAACCAATAT